CAGTATCTTTGCTTGTACTTGAGCTAGCTAAAATGGCCTTCTCATGTTGCTTAACAGCCATCAAATCTCTCTTCACGACACATCTTCATTTCTATCTCGGAAACGCCTGAAAAATGTGAACCGCCCTTTTGATTTATGAAGATCACTTATATAATCAGGAGGTCGTCTGGAATTTTACATGGCAGGAAAAAAAAAACTGTCTTCTGAAACCTTCAATGGTTGAAATCTGGAAGGTAAACTCCAACAAGGAGTTACGTAATATAAGTTCAGAAGGAGTTTATTCTTATTCCCGCAATGTTTTCCTGAGCTACATTCTACTGCATTAGACAACTAGCTATTCTACCCAAAAATCTAACTGAGAGAGAGAGCTTCGAACCTTCGCTCTACGCTCTAAACCAACTGACTTCTTACTCAGTTCATTGTTGTTAAAAGCAGTTTCTGAAGCATTCTATCAGGACAACCGTTGGACAGAAAACAGTATAAATGGTTAAAAATAACAGATTGAATTGATGTAATCTCGGCACCATTTGAAATATTGCGAAAGGATGCAATTAAATTCAGAATGGATAACTCGTCTTTGGTGGATTGAAAAAGGCAAAGAATGTTTGATTTAGACTGGGTAACTTGGTGATATCAACTGAGTTGATAACGTAAATTAGCCACCGTGAAGAGTTACAAGGCTATTCATTTATGATTCAAACAGTTTATTAATTTGTAAAATCACTATGGTTGAACTGGTCCAAGAACAACGTGACTGGTCAAATTACGAAGTAGCAAAGACATAATAAACAAATCAATAAAGTTGACAGCTCCACTGACAACTGATATAGTGTCCAAGGTAAAAGTGAAGAATTTAAAGCTCAAAGATCTTTTCGAATGATGTAAAATGAATTAGTGCTATGCCAAAAAGACAATACTTCTGATTAAGGTTAAATTCGTTGTCGCCAAACGGTTTCAACATGCAGTTTCACGTAAAATAGTGTAAAAAAACTGCACCAGCTGATGATTTTGTCTCGCGTTTCTCTCTATATCTTTCTCGTGCTAAGCCTGAGGGATTGCCTTCTCAAGTTACAGGAATCACCTGCACTCAAGTATTAAGGACTTTGTTTGTTGCAAGTCCGCCCTTTTAACAGACAAAGTAGACACTTACTGTTTAGAATCATTTATTTTAGTCGACATTAGCTGTCTTTTTATTATCAAATGTAACTATTATTAAATGAAAAGATGGGCTCCTCTTTCATCGGTTGATGAAATAACATAAGGTAAATTGGCCACCGTGAAAAGTTAAAAGGCTGAGGTTTCGAGCGTTAGCCCTTCTCCAATCGCTCTGACGAAGGGCTAACGCTCGAAACGTCAGCCTTTTAACTCTTTACGGTGGCCAATTCACGTTACCAACTCAGTTGACAACACTGATTTACCCTGTTATACTCTCCCACCGACGCAGCACCATCTTTACTGGGAAGTTAACCCCCTTTATTCATTTATGATTCAGACAGTTTATAAATTTTTAAAATCACTATGGTTGAACTGGTCCAAGAACAACGTGACTGGTCAAATTACGAAGTGGCTAAGACGTAATAAACAAATCAATAAAGTTGACAGCTCCACTGATAACTGATATAGTGTCCAAGGTAAAAGTAAAGAATTTAAAGCTCAAAGATCTTTTCGAATGATGTAAAATGAATTAGTGCTATGCCAAAAAGACAATACTTCTGATTAAGGTTAATTTCGTTGTCGCGAAACGGTTTCAACATGCAATTTCACGTAAAATAATGTAAAAAATAACTGCACCAGCTGATGATTTTGTCTCGCGTTTCTTTCTATATCTTTCTTGTGTTAAGCCTGAGGGATTGCCTCCTCAAGTTACAGTAATCATCTGCACTCGAGTATTAGGGACTTTGTTTGTTGCAAGTCCGCTCTTTACCAGACAAAGTAGACACTTACTGTTTAGAATCATTTATTTTAGTCGACATCAGCTGTCTTTTTATTATCAAATGTACCTATCATTAAATGAAAAGATGGGCTCCTCTTGCACCGAAAAAGAGGGAAAAAAATAGAAAATTTATAGTGCAAAGAAGAAAATGCCTCAGTCAATTCATGGGCGAGAATCTCTCCTAATCAGTCCCCGTTCATAAAATTAACGATTTCCAAATCCAATTAAGAAATGAAAACATAATGGCATTACGTACAAAAGTTTCCCTAGTTGTTGCTGGCAACTTTACCTTTGATATAATTCTTATACTTAAGCTAAAGTCATTTTTTCTGTTACCAACCAGCCATGACATCTTTTTTCGTATACACAAAACAGTTGAAAAAGAGGTGACACGTTAATTTATTAAGGCGAACAGTAATTAATAGGTCAGGTAGAGTGAAAGTTCTCCTTAGATACAAAAATAGAGCGATGCTGATGTTAATTAATGAGCCCGGTAATTAATCTCAGTGTCAACTCTCGATTAATAAGTCAACGAACGGATCAAGACAACTTATCTACGGTTCTATTCCAGTCTAAAATATGTCAACTTGAACATGATTTTGCAACAGAGCTATGTTATTTAGGGAAACAGCTTGCAGCTCTTGGAACTAAAATTTAATGAACTTCACATAGATCTAGGCAACCCTAGCGACAACTGGTGTAGTTTCCAAGGTAAAATTAACAAAGGCAAGTCTTATGTGATAAATCATGTGAAATGATTTGATTTCAAGCCAAACGGACAAGCCGGCTTTAGGTGTAAAAGATCGACGTACTGACACCAAACGGGTCTGCGTCGTGCATAGAAATGTAACTTAGCGGCAAAAGCATCGATGAAAAGTGAGAAAATACAACAGTAGTCAAATATCTCTTGCGTTTATTTTCTACTTTAACATCCGCTCTCGTCTCGTTTCACCACAGTACATAGCACTGACAGGATTGCTTGTAACGCCTAAGAGAGCGGCTTCTTAAGGTATAATAATCACCAGCACTCGAGTTATAAGGACTTTGTTTGTCGAAAATTCGCCCCTTCACTCACATACCATACAAACCTCTCCTTTCATGTGTTGTCGACGTACGCCACCTTTAATTTTTTTTTCTTTTAACCAAAATATGCTATTAGTAGAATTAAAAGGCGAGACCCTCTTTCGCAAAAAAAAAAAAAGGAATTGAAAAAAAAGGAAAAAAAATTACAAAATACTGCACACAAAGAAGCATATCTCTTCACCTTATGAGCGAGAAACTTTCTTAAACAGTCCTCGTTTAGGAGATAATTAAAACTTAAATCCAATTAAAAAAAATGCAAACACGACGGCATCGTTACAGCCTCAGCCTTGCTGTTGTTGTTAGCAACTTTACTATCAGATGTAAAATGCTTATACTTGAGCTAAATGCACTTTTTTTCTGTTGCCAACTGGCTATCGAATCTTTTTTTTCACGACAGATCTTTTGTTTAAATTTTAAAAACAGATACAACCAAAAAAAAAGTTCTTATAATGCATGATGTTCACCAATTATTAGAGGGTGGTCTTATAAAGTTAGCATCAAAATATAAATATAGAACAGCAGCGATGATGAATTGATCAGTCCACGAAATAATAACTCAACGCTCAATTAACCAGTCAATGAGCAGGATCAAGCGAAGAAATTTACAGATTCTATTTCAGTCTAAAATATGTCAACTTGAAAAAGTTTCTAGATTTCAAGTGATCAACTCGGTTGCTTTCTTGAAATCGGGAAATATGTAAAGCTCATTCCTTCTAGAATCGAAAGCTACTCTTAAATTCATAGCCTTCCGCCGGTAGAGTTGTTTTCCTCCTCATAGTTGCTCAGTTTTAGAGCCAAATAATCGTGTATTCAACACCGGAAAATGGGATTTAATTCCGATAAGATGATACAATAACACTGTGTAAAGTGTATTATCGGCGTAGTCTGGTCTATTCTGGAAGCGTGGGAAGATGTTTTCGTCCTTGGTGGAAGACATCACGTCACGCGTTTTACAGATTCTTCTTATAAGTTATAATTTATAAGAGAATCATAAGTAAACTCTCTGAAAAATCGACGTGATACTGAGTATATCAAATTTCTCTGAAGTTTTCTCTCTTGGATGCTCAGTCGATAACGTTGAGTCAAACTTAAGAACGGAAGAGTTGAAATGCCATATTTCCGGGAAAAATAAGTTCGAAAATACAATATCCAATGTCAAAGCATGCAAAACGTAACCTTTTCTTTGAAAACGGCAGAGCTGGTTTAGATAATTCAGTATACTTTCATGTGTTTTTCTAAACGTTTCGTTAAAAAATTGCAGCGCAGAAAAATTGGAGAGCGAGAAACAATCACGTGCAGTTTTTCCCTGAGTGCTGTTTTCTCGGGTAATTTGTTGCACCACTCAGCAGAGCTCAGCGGTCGTTTTCCCGTTTGCCGAGCTAAACTGTTAATAGATTTTCCTATTCACGTAATAATCCTCGTTGCCTTGTAGAGTGTCGTGTTTAGTTCCTAGAGCAGAGGCCTGTTTGTGCTAAAATGGACACACTTGCTAAGAAAAACCGGAAATTACTCCGGTTGATCTCCTTGTATAAAAACGGGGAAAATGAACAAAAATATCTTAGCTGAAACACTACCTTGTTGTGCTGATTTCTAATCATAATCACCTGAGCGCCCAGAGATCGATTTTTTTCGTTCAAACGTGCAAACTTTGTAACTGTGGTTTCCCTATCAGTCAAGGGTCGGCAGAAGCCTACCCTTGTGCACGCAACAAATTTCTAATTTAAGCAGTTGCTATGAACCAGATATTGATCTTATTCGGATGTTCTAGTTTCAGTTAAAAGCGCTCAGTATCTCAAATAGCAACGTTTCGGCATTAAACAGCCTCTCAGTGCGGCCATCACTTAAGATAAACTAATTTCTTTAAATCTATTAACGTATGAATTATAAATAGTTTTCAGTTAATAGCCAAGATCACCCTGAGAGCATATATAACCGACGGAATGACACTCACGTTCATTTTCCATCATCTGTGGACCCTATGAACATGTATCTGTCCGAAAAAAGTATGTCGTACTCCGGTATGCTATTGATTTTGCTACACTTACTGAGTCCCTCGAATGGGCGACCGCAAAATCACGGGCGGGCTCAAGTGAATACAAATTCCCATACAGGAAAGAACCATGGTTTTCAAGTTGGAAAAGTTTTCACTGCAGGAGGAGCTGCAGAAATCTTTCTTAGGAATCTTTATCACGACTATTTCTATGACGACGGGCAGGTTAAAGCGACAAATTCCACAGTTTCAGAAATCATCCACTCCGTTCAGGGAAATGGTATGATGAATAATTGTCTTTTTTTAACGAAGAATTTTAGATCAGTGAAACCGACAAGTTAGGAGAATTAAATTTTAGAAGCAGTTTCTCTGTTCGCAACCAAATCAGAATAATTAATGCTCTTAAAAGCGTTGTTCCTTGAACATTTACGATAGGAAACAAGGCAATCACCCTAAAAATTTGGTGCTGTTTCAATGATTTTAAGGCATCTGTTTGATGACCGAAAGGGTTTCAGAGAGAGTAGCAGTTCCTGAATCCCTATTTCCTTATATTTAAAACCACTCAATCAAATCTTCATCCATTTTCAACCATCTAATTTGACTTTTACCAACATATACATTTCAATTAATAAACAATTACCGTATCTGAACTGTATGCCAAATTTTTTGTGAGTGGATGCATAGAATCCAAGTCTCTTGCTTCAAAGCGAGCTGGATACATCCCAAGGAATGCGCCCAAATTGAACCGAACAATAAAACAAAGCAAAAGGTGAAACTAGTAAGCACAAAAAAAAATTGAGATGACAATAATTAACTGGAATCAAAAAAAAAATCAAACACCTAATTCATAAACAATTCGACTTCTACTTGCAGTTGATGCCGCTTCCAAACTCATCCGTTTCGACGTGAAGGGGATTGATCCTAAAGAACACGTCGAAAAGGCCGAAATGAGGATAAACTTTCAAAAGATCTTTGGACAGGCCTTCAGTGATGATAAACTAGGCAGTTGTGGCCTTTACGACAAGAAAACAGGCAGGCTCATTACCAAATCTGCACTTCAAGGAGCAGATCCCAACTGGATTGTGTTCCCAATGGTCGAGACAGCCGTTGTACAATGGTTTCAATCCATTGACACAGTCCATGAGGTTCAGGTCAAAGTAGTGTCAGACTCAGCCGATGACTCTGTTCCAAAACCTCTGATCTCCAACACAACAAATGGGAAGTCAGATGGAGTATTCATGGTTGTTTACACTGACGGAAGGCAGCTTCAGGAAGTTGAGTACGATCCTTTCTTGGGGAGGTGAGCAAATGCTTCTTTCACTCAATCTTCTCTTTCCTTTCTTCACATGCTTTCGGTGACACTAATTTCGTCCTCAAATAAATATTGACATGAGAATAAATATTGACATTTTATTCCGGAAACACACCACATTTCCCTGTTCAGATTGAACTATCCAATCGAATTTTGGGAGATCATCAGAATAACTTGGAAATTACGAAACAGCTTCCCTATTCACATTTAAAATAGACCAGTGATCTTTCTGTTGGCCTGGCGAGTTTGCGAATAGCTTTTGTTCTCCCCAGTTCCTCTCACTTCTCCACAAGCTGCCACTGAGTGGGGTGGGGTGGGGGATCATAAGAATGCACTTCCAAATGCAGAACTTAAATAGACTGTTTTGTGCTTCTTTTAGTCGGCTTCGTCGAGATATTGGTATGAACAAGACAAATTCCCGGCCATCTACCAACGACACTGATCTGTGCACCAGACGTGACTTGCATATCAACACCAAGCAGACTTTCGGGAACTTCCTCATCGCACCGCTCTCGTTCAACGCCTATGACTGTGTGGGAAAGTGTGACCTGACTGCTGGTGCCGCCAGTTTCAGCAACCATGCCGTGGTGCGCTCCCTGGCTGCGGAGCGGATGGATGGAGGAGGCAAGGTAGTGCTTAACTGCTGCGTCGCAACAAACTTCAGCACCGATATGCTGGGGATCATGTACTTTAAGAAAGACGGTCACGTGATCCTGCGCCAATACCGAGACATGGTCGCCACAGAATGTGGCTGCCGTTGACATAGAACGTACCCACGCTTATCACGTGGACGCCTAGGGCAGATTTACGATTAGCACGTGGCTTTCGAAGAAGAATTGATTTGTAGATGTAATAATCTCCCTATTGTTATTTTGAAAAGCGTAGCTATTCAGTGCTGGATAAAGAACTTTTAGATTGAAAACAAAAAGATGAAAAAAAAAGTAATGACACTATAATTATTGAAAAAGAAGACAATTGTAAAGATAAGCAAGCTATGAGTCCAAAGTGAAAATAATGAAAAATAAAGATAGACTTAAGCAATGAGAGAGACATAAATTTGATGAAGTTGGTAGAGATTGTCAGAATTTGTCCCTAAGGCCAGAATCACTTAACTCTCTCGTTTTCAGTCTTTTTGTCAAATCAATAGGACGTGTTTCATTTTCAATGATTAAATTTACTTTCTTAAACAAAGTGACATGTCCCTATTCTCAAAAAGGTTTAAAAAAAATTAATTACTCTATGAATACCGGAATAATTGGCATCACAGATACTAAATGCTTTTTCGACGCTCTGTCTCGGAGCTCCCGAGTAAAACAAGATTTTCGCTTTTCTGAGCAATTTTTGAGCAAAATACAGGTTTACGGCACATATCAAATTCATAAAAATCAACAATTTCGGAGAAAAGTTCAATTTATGCAAATTTTTGGACTCTTCATCAACCTTTGAACACATAGCTCGTCACTTGACAACATTTCGCTGGCTCATTGACTTGGAGTATATCCATAAATTTCACCCATATTTGTGAGCGACTCTTAAAAGCTACCTTTAACTTTCTTTTTTTTCGTGACCGATGTTAGGAATTATTGTGAACAACGAAAAATAAAGCTTTTGATTGACGTTTCTATAAAAATGTCAAGAAAATGAGGCAGCACCCTGTTGGATTTTTAGCAATTTTTAGCAACTTTTTTTTGCATTCAGTGAGAAACTTTCCAGAATTCTACGAGCACAACTGTAAGAGGCCTACGCACAACACTTATACTTACATAAAAACCAATTGAATTTTTGTGAACAGCGCAGGATCAAATTAACGCTCTCACTCCTAAGATCTCATAACTAATTTTCCATACAGTTTGCCATACAATTGTTATGAAGTTAGTTCAATTTATAATCCCCTGGTTAATATTTTTCCTTAGTCTCATCACTTTTCTGCTTGATATTTTATAGATATTGTGAGAAGAAATTCTATTTTGGTCAATCATAGTAGTTAAATATTTAATTCAATACCATGTGCCTCATTCACGTAGGTTTGCAGCCTCGTTTTCTACCATCGTCAGGTTTTAAGTCCTTTAGTCTGTTTCAAAATACTCCGTGATGGAGTCCGTGACATAGTCTGAAAGCGAACGGAACAATAATTAAATATTCAGCATTTCATCGTCTTATTCCGCGGTATCAAGTAGTGCTTCAGAAAAATATATCCTAGCCGTTCTAAGTAGGCAGAAATCCCCTAAGAATCCTGAAAGTACGGCTCTGAAAAAAGCGAAAAATATTAAAAATATTATCTAGTTGGCTGTTTGGAAGAAATAAAATTTGTCGAGACTCTCATTAACGAGTGACGGTTCCAGAAATTTTAACGTAAGACTTCATGTCGCATCGAGGACCATTTATAAATTATATATCATATCGATAATTGTCAGCACTTTTAGGGATTAAAAATGCTTGTTTGATAGATAATACATCATTAGCCTTCACATTTGATTTTGCTCCATTTGCAATTCTTCTATTACCATAAGTTGGATTTGTATCCATAAAAGAAAGCGAATAATTTTATGACCAATTTTTGATCTCACATCCTCAAATTGAAATCTCCGTGGGAAATATTCGGTTCTATTTTTCACGTTGCCTTAACAACTTGGATGGATAACCTACAGCTACAATTCCAATCATGGTGAATGTCACACATTTCAAAAAAAGGAAAATAAAATTAAAATTTCCCAATAGACACCTCTCTAACTTGTTTGTCTTAATTCCGTTCTTAAATATTGATTGAGATTAGTTATTTATAACCCTTTGTGAGCTTTTCAAGCCATTCATTTGCAATTCTCGTTAATGCGTAACGGTTGTGATCGAGATAAAACCTCATTTTGCGAACAGATATCCAATTTTAAAGGGATTTACTTCTACAGAAAGATCTTGGCCAAATTCTGCTCATCGGTGAAAGGTTGGCGTTTTCAGGTTTACATTCACTAAATAATTTCGCTATAGCGTTCGCTGTGTTTTAAATTTTTTTATTTTATTTTATGTTTGTTATCAAGCATAGCGAACTCAGTGATTCCTTTTCTTAGTCAGAGCATCAGAAGAAATATGTTAGCTTAGAAACATGGCTAATGTTACCAATAAGCCGTAACTGCGCTGGAAAGCCTTCGGATTTTGCACAAGCATTGCAAAAGTGATTTCGATCATTGTTAGATTGAGAATGTAACACTAATTTGGGCCGCGCAGGTGAGGCGCGATGATATTAACTTGAAACACTTGATTTTTATGGTATTTTTTAGGTATACGACTAGCTATGTCATCCACTTTTTCCTAAACAACCGTCTTCTACTGTAGATAGTTTCGCTCAATCTGAAGCAGATACAGTACACTTTGAACGCTTTGAACAGAGAACGAATTGGGTTACTGATTAACTTGGAATTTCTCACTCGAGGATAATTGCATTTCTTTGAGTACACCTGCACAACGATCATGTTTTTAGAATCATTAACAATATTCTACTGATCGAGAAAGAGTACATTTCATGAAAAAAAGAAGCTTTGCGCTTGTTTTGTCACGATTGTTTTGATTACTCTCAAATGTAGTATCAATGCTCTTCGGAATTGAATTTTTTTCCAACGCGTTTGTCACTTTCTAGGTACTGATTGCTGAACGCGAGACAGCCATTTTGAATTTAAGCACGCCTAAGTAATGTATAGATTTAGCCAAGCCTAAAAGTGGAGCTTGCATTTTTTTCCCCGCACGTCTCAAGGGCACAACGCCTTGCCTCGGCCAGGACTAGAACCCGGGTCGTCCGACTCGGAGCCCAGTGCACTGACCACTGGACTACTGAACAAAGCCGTGGCATTGACGTGCCCGCGGTACAGTTGACTACGCATGTTAAAGTAGTACCTTGTACAGCACAATTTTACTGTCTTTGGAAAATTTACTCGTACTTACTAACAACAAATTGCACTCAAAATCATGTTGTTTCCTATGCTAATTTTTCAATGCGAGTGACGTCATAGTTACTGACAGGTGTGCACTTCAATTCGCCTGCTTGGTGATAACTGTACTCATACTTCTACCGTAAATTACACTGAAAAAAAAAGAAAAAAAAAGGTTTAATGACTGTAAGCCGCATTAAATCCCCTTATTTCTTGTAAGTTTCTCATTCAACTACAGTTTTTCGGAGGAAGAAAGGAATAAATCGCATCATCGCAACAAATAAACTAACAAACTTTTGCAATATGAAAGCGATCTTCGCAGTAATGAACACTATTCAGGCAGTAGTGAAAAGAAGGCCTGAAAAAATTTCAGGCCTGTACGGGATTTGAACCCATGATCTTTGCGATACCGGTGCAGCGCTCTACCAACTGAGCTAACAAGCCAACTGGGAGCTGGTCACTGTTGGTTCCAAGCCCCCAGTTTAACCGCACTTCAAATATATGACTTTCATATATTCATAGCCGTTTAAAACTTTTGCAACTTCAAAACAGTTATTTGAATTTACTCACGGTGAATTTCCTTGCCATTCAAAAATGAACGGAGGAAAATCTGCGAAGATTTCTTGTTTTGGAAGTGAATGAAACTCTCCCTTGGATCATTCGGCTATTTGAAGAAAATCTCGTTGTAATATTCAACCAGCTCAAGTTTGCTTGCTACGCTGATAAGACATACTGTTGTTTTTTCAAAAGTACACGCATTTTTTTAAATTGACAGGTGTCAAAAGATGTCTCAAAGTTTGTTTGGAAGCCTTTTAAAACAACTGAAGTGGAGATGTGTCGGTGAAACATCTTCTTTTCAATGATTGTGAATATAGGAAAACCATATATGTGAACTGACAGAGGTTTTTTAACAAATAACAATGAAAGCGATTATTGCAGTTATGAACATTTCTTAAGAAGTAGTGGAAATAAGGCCTGAGAAAAAGTCAGACCTGTAGTGATCTACAACCTTACATTGCTCAAGTTCTTCTTGTTAGCATTTTGCTAGTTTAATTGAAAAATTATAAATTTTTTACCAGTCACGGTCCCTAATGGGAGTAACTGTGCCATTTGACTTAAGAGTGGTATACAACTTCTCCAATAATTTTTTTAATGAAATCCTGTTTGTTTGTTGCTACAGTTTTCTTAAAGAAAAAACGTGGCAACTTTCCCCTCTCGACCTTTCCCTCTCCGTGAACACTTTGGGGAAATTCAGTATTTTAATAGCCAATTTGATAAATGCGAGAAATATAAAGTATTTGTCGTTTTTTTCGGCATTCAAAACGTCCTCTTTGTTTCCTCCAAAGCAAATTAAAATCTGGGAATTCATTCCATGTGGCGCCATTTCTCCGGACAGGAAGATGTTTCAGTCTTCCATGGGTTTACCGGCAAAATGAACGATGGATTTTTGACCAATCAGAGCGAAATTGTGTCTAAGTTATGTCATAGATAAATAATTGTGACGGTGGAAGTTGGAAAGCGGCGAAACAAAGGATTATGTAGATGAACAGAACTATAATAGCTCTGCATGGGGTCTTTATTAACTTAGTCTAATCTGCATTGAACACTGTTAAATTATTTGCAATGTCTGAAAACTGGAATATCGACAGAAAGTGTAATCACTTTTCTACTCCAATCTCAACGTTGCCTGTGTAAGTTGTGTTGAGCAAGAGATCTGAAGCTGTCGGTGCATGTAAACAAGGTGCATGCGGTTAATGAAAGTTTCCTTTTGTAAACGACGTTTTTCTGAACGTCGCCGTCGTGACTACTTGTATTTGTTTAATATTTTTTTTGAGGAACCAAAGTTGAATTTTTGACTTAAATGAAAGGAGTTAGTGCAATCAGTGCAGTCAAAGCTTTCGAAGCATTTCTGCTTACGAAGTGATTTCTTCTGCAGACCGATTAACCCGATGTTATATCGCTAGTTAAGGTAAATTTTATTTTGGTTTAACTCAACTAAACATAATTCTAACGGTGCTATATAATATTCTTTGCACAGCTTCAATTGGCAAAACGCTAACGATACCATTTTAAGAGAAATATTTACGTTCTTCCCTTCTCCTCAGTACTTTTGACTGTTACTTCAAGGTACACTTTATCATTTCTTTCCCAAAACTTTCGGAAGCTTCATGTGGTAAACCCATAATTTTGTAGCTTAAATTTTATATTATTTTAAGTTTCAATCATGGATGACATCATTATTCTTTAGCTTCGATAAATACTGATGTTGTGTCGACTCAGGCACTTGTGGGAACCCTTTCCTGTACCTGCTATCCGATTAATGAAGGTAATAGGACCGAGTGGAGTCCAATTCGGTCTGTAATCACACGAGTGATTAACAAAATCGGACGACCGCGAAGTTATCACCAATCAGGCGAATTGAAGTGCACACCTGTCAGTAACCATGACGTCACTTGCATTGAAAAATTGCCATAGGAAACAACATGATTTTGAGTGCTATTTTAAAAATCCCCCGAAAGGACTATATTTCTGGTCGAATGTTATTTGCAGTGAAATGATTTGCCGAATTGGTCTAAGGATGGTTCTTCTCGTTGCATCTTTATTTATCGTCCACCTGCTGTCTCCAACAACCGCTGAACAGTGTGGAACGGAATATTCCATTTTCGGCATGATGTTGATGAGACACAATTTTAAGACGATGAAAACGTCTAGCGCAATGGAGTGTTTACATGCTTGTAGGGACGACGTGAGGTGTCAGAGCCTGAACTACGTCATGGGGGAAGATAGCTGTGAGTTGAATGACCGCACCAATAAGGCCAGACCTGAGCATTTTGTGCCAGATCTATTCCGATATTATCTTACACGAGACAAGAATAGGGGTGAGTTATTGCTTTATTTAAAACATACTCTAGAAACTACAGTCGACTAAACTACAAAAAGAGAAAGAACCGTTGGCGTATTCCATGGCACTCGAGTAGAAGACCGGATCCCCGTGCACATCTTGGCGTCGCACAGCAGTTCACTGATCATAAAAGCTTTTTGTGTAATTTTACATACAATACATAATGTAGGCTTTTTCCTCTTCCTGTTATTTTTCTTTGAACACTTTCTTTAGAATGGCTTATTTGAGGTGATGGTTTTTTACGACTTAAAGTTAAAGTTTTAGCCATTTCTTTTTTCCGTTATGTACTGTCTCTTTTACGACAACTGCTAAAATTTACCGGTTTTTATGCCCAACGGCTAAATTGTTTTTGCTGTGTTACGGCTAACGGTTAAACCCATTAAGACCCTCTTTAGAGACATTATTCTTCATCCTTATGGAGCCAGCCAATTTCTTTTTTAATTCTGATCCCTCTGATATTTTCTTCCAGTCCCTCTCGGTTCCATACCGGAGGTACCTGCGGAGACATGTAGAGAAATCAAGTTGAGTGAAGGTCACACAATCAGTGGCAGCTATTGGTTGAATTCGATTGTTAATGGCAAATCCCTACTTGCTCAGTGTGATATGGAGACAGAAGGCAAGTTGAGCTGTATTGAAACCTCTCGTTTTAGGTAACTGTTTTCGGGGGGGGGGGAAGTTTCTGAAACTATTGGGCTACGCCAGTGGGAGAGTATAACAGGGTAATTTAGTCATCGTTAGAGCAAATGACTAAGGGCTAACGCTCTAAACGTCAGCTTTGAAGAAAAAGTAAAATTAAATGACAAGGTGATGCTAACATAACCTTTGAATCTGTATCGAAGTCTCAGAGGTGTTTCATGAATAAACTTGCAAATGTGGAACTTTCATTGTGAGAGCGTACTTTTTTAAAATATGAAATGCTTTGTCTATGATTTTTTCACGATTTGCCTCATCAGACGTTGACGAGTGTAGTGCTGACGTCCATATTTGTGGCTCTAATGCAAACTGCACAAATACCAACGGCTCTTATTACTGTTCCTGTCATTCTGGTTTCACTAGAAGTGGCAAAGAATGTGTAGGTAAGGACTTTATGTATAGATTACTTTTGAAATTACTTATTCTTTTTGTGTGGGACACACAGAAGGCCTCTTGTTAGAGAACTTTGCTAATTTTTATAAACTGCTCGTCGTACAAGTTCACTTCATGTTCAGTACTTGTTCGTCATCTCACTCTCAGATTTCTTCCACCATGTTCCTCTTGATCGACTTCCTTACAGACTATCAGTAGTATATCCGAGGATGACTCTCAACAGGGCTGTTGATGTTCTATAGAGTACATCATCTGCCCATTGATATCTCTTTTGTCATATTTTCTTAGTCAGCTCTTCATTTTGGACATACGACTTTCATCATCTACAGTAGCGTCCCTTTTTTCGTATTTTTCGTTGAATAGGCATCAAGCAGTCTTTATATACAAGGCTGATAATCCAATAATGTAACAACCCACAGCCATAATTTCTTCTCAAGGCAAATACAAAGTCGATCTCTATTTATGAGAGATAAAATTTTTACCTCCTAATAATGTTGGTATTCTGTGATCAAACATAATGTTTGAGGCAAGCTTGCCACCACTCCAGACGTAACTGTCATGGCTAAGAACAGTTTTTGTATCCATGTGGTTGTTTGATATTTTAAAAACCGCACAAATGTTAAAATTGTTTCATAGCTAAGATAAGCAAAGTCACATAGTTTTTTTTCCAGATGACAAATATCTAAAATCAATTCCGAAGGAACTTCTTTTGTATCCCTTTGGGAAAAAAGTCTTTCTGCGGATTGGACTTTTTAAAACCAGTTTTATCTTAGTTCCCTCGTTTTGCATCAGGAGATGACAAAAATCGTTTACCCAGGAAAGACTACTCCATGAACTGTTCTGTATGAACAGATAACTTTTTATATTTCACAGATATAGATGAATGTACAGCTGGTGTTCACACTTGCCTTCGTGGAACAGCCACGTGCATTAACACTATTGGTTCGTACAACTGTTCTTGTAACCTTGGTTATGTTGGGGATGGAAGAACAAGTTGTTATGTGCAGTCAGCCGGTTAGTGGTTTTTTTCTTTTACAAGTAATGTGAAATAATTTTACTTACAATTGCAGAGGCTAGCATTTTTTTTTCATCTTATACTATCTCAGACATTTTCGTCTGACTTTAGATGCTTCACTGAAGATTGCTCTTCTTTATTTTTTAGAAATTAGGGCGGGTAATGATTCAGAAGAGTGAGTCGTGAGCCGTACATATAAATATTCTATCGCAAAGAAAATAAGAATGATAATTTTACTCGAATTGAGGTTCAAAGCTCTTTCC